TCAACAACTTGTTTTAGAGACAATCCCAGTAGAGAGTTTAGAATATGTGTGCTCCTGGCACAAGTAGCTAATTTTGTTTTCCAATTTACATCAGGAAGATTAAAGTCACCCATGATGATAACTTCCCCCTTCATTATCATTTTAGCTATTTCCTCAACTAGTAGATTATCTAACTCTTCAATTTGTCCTGGGGGCCTATAAATCACACCTACACGAGTTACTGTGTGATTACCAAATTCTAATGTAGCACAAGCGGACTCTATGTTAGCCTCACTAACTTTTATTAGGCTAGATTTTATGCTATCCTTCACATACAAGGCCACCCCTCCCCCTTTCTTGCCTTCCCTATCTTTCCTATATAAAAAGTACCCTGGTATTGCTATGTCCCAGTCATTTTTCTCATTGTACCATGTCTCAGTAACAGCGACTAAATCTACACTATCAGTTGCCATTATTGCCACAAGTTCATGGATCTTTTCCCCTAAACTGCGAGCATTTGTAGACATGACTCTAAGCTTATCATTTTTTAACACACTTGCTACAGGCACCTTCTGTCCTTGTTTTGGGGGACAATTGGATTGATGTTTTATCACCCTTTTGCCCCCCTCCTCCTAGTTTAAATACATCCTTGCAAAACCTCTGAACTGCTCATTGAGAACATTTGTTCCCTTTTGAGAAAGATGCAAACCATTTTTTGTACAGCTTATCTCCATTCCAAACAGAGCTACCATGAGAAATAAAGCCAAATCCTTGCTCCCTACACCATTCACCAAGCCACAAATTAAAGTCCCTAATACACATCCGCCTGTCATTCTGAGTGTTATGCACAGGCAGAACTTCAGAGAATGACAGTGTGGAAACAACCTGCCGTATATCATTGGCAAAAACACTAAAACCTTCCTTAACCTCTAAAACCTCCTTGCAAGCCAAGTAATTTGTCCCTAGATGGACAAGTACATCCAATTCCCCTTCCTGGTTTGCTTGCTTAACAATATTACAGATACGTCTCCTGTCTCTGTGAGCTGTAGCTCCGGGAAGACACCTCACAAGACCACCATTATCCATCTCCACACCTCTTATAATAGAATCCCCCAACAACAACTGCTTTCTATTAGGCCTCACCATAGTCTCCAAGCCGGTCTCCACAACACCACTAGCCTCAGTGCCTCTCTCCACAACACCACTAGCCTCAGTGCCTCTCTCCACAACACCACTAGCCTCAGTGCCTCTCTCCACAATACCACTAGCCTCAGTGCCTCTCTCCACAACACCACTAGCCTCAGTGCCTCTCTCCACAATACCACTAGCCTCAGTGCCTCTCTCCACAACACCACTAGCCTCAGTGCCTCTCTCCACAACACCACTAGCCTCAGAAGGCTGAAATGATCATCTTGAGATTGCTGTATCTCTCCTGCAGGGGGAACTTGTCAGCCCTTCTGATCTGCACCTCCATCGTCTGTGCCTGTCCTTTTTAAGAACAGGTTCTTCGTTGGCATTTATCATTTTTTTTGTACCTCTCATAGCCAAGGTTGCATAGACTGCTGCCAGGGCTCTGCGGTTCTCTTCTATCAGTTGGCACAATCTCATTTTCTTGGATGTTTGACATAATCCTGCAGTTCGTTCTGCAGTTCCTGTCTGGTGACATAAGATGAGCAGAGATGTTACATAAGTGTAGGCGCTATTACTTCAGTGGAATGCACACAAAGGTTGCAATGCATTTAAACATGATTATATAGGTTATATTGGGGGGTCTTGGAGCCAAAACTCAAATTGGTTAAAGGGACACTATAGTCACCAGAACAACTACATCTTATTTAATTTGTTCTGGTGAGTAGAATCATTACCTTCAGGCTTTTTACTGTAAACACTGTCTTTTCAGAGAAATTGCAGTGTTTATATTACAGCCTAGTGATAACTTCACTGGCCACTCCTCAGATAGCTGTTAAGAGATCCTTCTTGGGTCATGGCTGCCTAAAATGCATCCAAACATTCAGTATCTCCTCCCTCTGCATGCAGACACTGAACATTCATTGATTCATTTAATCTCTGAGAAGATGCTGATTGACCAGGGCTGTGTTTGAATCATGCTGGCTCTGCTCCTGATCTGCCTCCCTGTCAGTCTTAGCCAATCCTGTGGGGAAGCATTGTGATTGGATCAAGCTACCACTTCTGATTATGTCAGCAGACTGCCTTATTTTTGAGTCTAACAACATGCAGAGTTACAGCTTCTGGCTTGAATACTGAAAGATTGGAGGCTTGAGGGGCCCAGGGGCTACATTTATGGAGGCATGAGGGGCCCAGGGGGTCTAGATGGTGGTTTTAACACTATAGGGTCAGGAATACATGTTTGTGTTCCTGACCCTTTAGTGATCCTTTAATACCAGTTTAGAATACTTAAAGCCCCGCTAAACAGAGTAAGCCACTAGACTAGAGTCATCCTAAAGTGAGAAAGGTAATTTTGTATGGATGTTTTTATTTTTTGAATACTTTCGCTGGTCCGTTGGTTAGCTCCATTCTTTTTATTTTTGGATATCAAACCTTCTGAAAAGCAAGAATCTACTAACAAGCCTCAAAGAGCCAAAGCAGTACTTCATACTAAAATCGTTGTTGCACTGGCTGTAACATTCCTTTGCCTGGCGGCTGTAAGAAAAAACTGTGCAATCCTCATACTAAATAGTATGTTGATGCTGCCAAGAGAGAAGTAATTGCATTTTTTATGCAGTGGTTTCAGACAGATCTTTCAGATTTTCATGGTTGTCAGTACTGCTGCACTATGGACCATTCCTGCTGCGTCTGAATCCTCTCATTTGCTTCCAGATTCTGAAACCAAGGACTCCAGCAAAGGGTCCTTATCTAGTTCACCCTCTGTATCCATGTCCTTAGATGATATGATGTGTTTTCAGAAGAGAGTCTAGATAAATTAGTCAAAGAGGTCCATATGGCTATGAAGGAAGTACAAGGCACATTTTCACATTAAGACAAACCCTGGATTCATGCACATTCTGCTTAGAGAATGGCAGGCATATGGAGAAAGACCTTTGATCACTAAGCACTTTAAAATATTTTCTATTAAATAATATAAACCTTGGGATTCTATGCCCAAAACTGATATACCCATTGCACAATTAGGTTCTAATGTCTTACGGACAGGCAAGGCCATTTCCTTCCCCAAAATCTAATGGATAAAAAAGCTAAAACATCTGTGAAAAATTTTTCAGGTCTCTTCAAGTTTATCTTTTGATGAATTATTGAAGTCTATAGCTGAAGGAAAGAAGATTTTACCTCAAGAGAAAAAGAAATCCAACTAGAACAATAGTTTATTTTTCTTTGGCAAAGCATCTTGGGAAGATCCTTTGGGCCAAAATATTCCAGATACAGTGGCAGACAAGTTTATAAAGATAAGCCTAAAGATAAAAGGAAGTCCTTCAGATAAAATAGATGAGAAATATTTTGACGCCAGGCCGTGGAAGTGAGACTGGTTTATTTTTCCATACCTGGAATCAGACCATCCAAGATTGAGTCCTAAGAGTCAAACAGCACGGTTACAACTGTGAATTTGACAATCTTCTTCATCCTGTACTTTTGTTTTGAAGTACATTATTTGGTGCTAAGAGAGGCATTAAGTGCTGTGGTCATAGAACTTGAAAAGAGAGCAGTGTTAGAGAGCAGTGTTAGAAGAAGTGCTTCCAAAAGAAAGAAATCTCAGCTGATGATGTTTCTTCTTGTTAGAAAGCACCATGGTATGTTATCCTTTTTAGACCTCATGAAAGTGAACACATTCGTGTCCAAAAAGAAATTCAGAATGAAGATTTACCTTTCAGCACTCAAATAAGATCTACGATCAGTTCAAAGCCTTTCTCTTTGGTCTATCACTCCAACAGTTTTCTCATAGAGTCTGATTGTACATTTTGCCTGGAGAAATGCCAAAGAAATTGAAAGTGAGCAAGCTCTGGGTTTGCCAGGTTTGTCCAGCCAAAAAAACAATAAGAGTTCTGGGACAGGTGCTATCCTAGCACTAGCCTAGGGTTGCCATCAGAAATTTTGGGGCCCCTAACACAGCTCAAGGTCTGGGGCCTGCCCCCGAGTCCGCCCACAGGGATGCAGTGTGTGTACTGATTGTGGTGTGTGTGTAAAATGGATGTAGAATTTGTGTGGTGGATGCAAAGTGTGTGTGTAATGTATGCAGATTGTACATTTGTGTAATGTATAATGTGTATATTAGATGCAGAGTGTGTGTGTAGTGGATGTAGTGCTTGTGTGTATTAGATGCGGTGTGTATAGTGCATACAGAGTATGTGTTTGTACAGTGGATGTAGTCTTTGTGTGTATTAGATCAGTCTTGAGGCAAAATTATATGTTTGATAATGTGAATCAATTTTTATTTTTTTTGCTTTTGCAATGGTAGTCCAACATTGCACACTGTTGCCTACTTTGTTGTCAACATTTGTCCTTTTTATTTGATGCTATTCCTAACTCAGTCCCATTTAATGTATAAGCTATTAATGGATTCCTTATTTCAAAATGCACTACTTTGAATTATGGATTTTTATTTCTGAATTTTTTGACAAAATGTATTCTAGGTTAACTATTATATAACTCTCTCTCTCTTATATGGTTTAATCATACAATACTTGCTACTCTCGTAATCTTTTTAAAAATGTGCCCCACTTGTAACTAAAATACATTTATGTACAATAAAGTCTTAAAAAGAAAATTGTGTCACATTTTATTACACTAAGACAAAGTGCTACCACTCTAAATAAAAATTAGAGTATATGCAGGTTTTCAGCATGTAAAGGTTTTTCTTAAAGAGTATGCGCTCATACTAGTGTGGTGGAAATCAAATGTATACACCCACCAAATCCATTACTGAAACATTACAAATTAACTGACACAAAAGCTATGCATATATTTACAGTATTTTGTATGACTGAACTGCCTTATAAAAAAAAATAGGTATTTGTGCTCTAAGTTTATTGCTGAACAGATGTAATTTTCCCCACAGAACATTTGAAGAAACGTCTGGAAGATTACATGGTTAGATTCCCCAAGGTAAGAATTGTGCGAACTAAGAAGAGAGAAGGATTGATCCGCACACGTATGTTGGGAGCCACAGTAGCCATCGGAGAAGTAATTACTTTCCTAGATTCTCATTGTGAAGCCAATGTGAATTGGCTTCCACCCCTTCTTGGTAAGTAGAAAGCCCTTCTTCAAGTCATACATTTTGCCATTCATATCTATAATTTTTATTGAGCTTTATATGTAAATACATGTTTTTCTCTTGGTTCTTAAAAGAATGGTTACCATGAGGATAGAATGGAATAGTATTGTAATTTGGCTGAATGTGTGATTTGAATCTTTAATAAAAGAGATCAAGGAGAAATAGTTTATTGCACTTTTTCTGGCTGCTAGACTTGCTTGTTAATCCAAACGCCATGCTACTGTTTTACACTAAGGTATAATCCAACTTTGTTTTTGTTTTTTCTTCTGCAGACAGAATTGCTCAGAACCGTAAAACGATTGTGTGTCCTATGATTGATGTAATTGATCATGACCACTTTGGCTATGAAACACAAGCTGGTGATGCAATGCGAGGGGCTTTTGACTGGGAAATGTTTTACAAACGTATCCCCATTCCTTCTGAGTTGCAGAATTCAGATCCAAGTGAGCCTTTTGAGTAAGTTCCATCTGCTTTTTTACAATTATTACATTGTTATATTATCAAGGTCTTAAATATTTTTATTCATTTTATCACAAAGTATATAAAACTCAATTTACATAGAAAATTCTTTACAATAATATTATTTTGACACATATAACAAAAATACAAAAACACAAAAACAACAAACACCAAAGACAACAAACAGCCTATCAATTCACAGTGTATGAGTATTCTATAATGACCCAGTATGGGTTATAATCTGTACCCTTTATCAGTCTCCACAAGTTGTCCTCTTCCAAATTCTTACCCCGATTTCCCCTTTTGTCCTATACTAATCGCAGTCACCAACCCCTCACCTTAGTCACCATTTGACCCCAAGTTGTAGGGGGGAAGACCATATGAAATATGCCCATTTTCTATACTAAAGATGGGAACACTCTAAATAAAAAAGAGTGAGGAGGTATAAGAAAAACCATGTGAGGAATAACTATAAAAAAAGAGGGCAACCACCTTAGATCCCAAAAGTACCCATACTTCAACAGCCACACACATACCACATATATTTTTCCGGGATTCCATGGGGAGGTAAACCGACAAGGAGAAATAGCTATGAAGGGTTTTGTCCAAGGGTCAAACAATAATCATCCCAGAGAGCCCATCTATACTCCGGAACTATAGGAGCGCCTAAATATCCATCCTCTCTTTCTAGTGTCCTATTTCTTTGCATTACCCTTTCCACTTCTGACCACTTTGGCAACCTTACAGCAATCAACCATTTCGCTATCGATAAGATATGAAACAGGAAAGATTTTAATTCTTTTGAGCGGTAACTAGGTAGAAAGTGAAACAGAACCAATTATGAAGTTAATTTGATCTTTTCGCCTACAATTCGAGATATCCCAAGTTTACCCTCCTTCCAATACATTTGAATATAGGGACAAGACCACCACATATGTGTTGCTGAGCCAACTTGATTACAGCCTCTCCAACTAAATTTATATGTAGCCTCTTTCTTTATTTTCCAAAGCTTAAGTGGCGTTATATACCATCTATTTAAAATTTTAAAATACATCTACCTATATGAAACATGTTTAATTATTTTGTCCATTGAAGCAAAAGCTCCTGACCACATTTCCATGGGCCAGGATTGATTAAGTTCCTCTTCCCAAATTCTTAAATTTAAAAATTTAGTGCCAAATCCCTCTCTCTCAAAAGACTAAAACATTTTGATAGCAAGTGCATCTTATTTGTTGAACATATTATTTTTTCACAGGGTGTCAGTTGTCTAAGCTCTTTTAAACGATAACTGGACGTCGAGCCTTCACCTTAATGTATTCCATCCACAAGCTAGTTGGAATTTAAAATTAGATTGTAAATAGTCAAATGAGAGAAATTCATTATTTACATATAAATAATCTGCATCCCAATTTCAATAATATCTCAAGCAGAGGGGAGTGAATCTTTTCCTGCAGCCATGAGATATGAATGATCAGGCTCGGAAATGGAACCAGAGAATATTTATGATTCAACTTCAACCAACTTTTAAGACTGTACCATATTATCGAGGCTTTACTATGCAGTATGCCACTGGATAAATCATCTCGAAAAAGGATTGAGTTCAAGTGTGTTTGTTTAAGAAAAAAAGCTTCTATTGATACCCAATTATTATTTTTTTCCTCTTCCTCCCATCTCAGCATATGTGTCAAGAGGGAGGCTTCCTGATATTTCTTAATGGCAGGATATGCTATCCCTCCACTAGAGAATTTTTTAACCATAATTGGTATCTTAATTCTCATTCTTTTATCCTGGTGGATAAATACGTCAATCACCCTCTGTAATTTATTAAGCAAATAGATGGGACACTGCCAGGGTATGCAGCGCATAACATAAGTAATCTTAGGTAATATTGTCATCTTAACCGCTGCTATTCTACTTGCATTATATTAGAATAAACTGATTGAAAATTAACTGTCATTGTTCTTTTCATTTCGGTGAACAATTTTATTCCTAAATGGGTTATTGAGTGTTGCCAATTGAATGGATAAAATTGACTTAAGAAGTTTTTCTCAGACCGTCCCATATTAAAAGTGACGGCTTCCGATTTCTTTACATTTAATTTATAATTGGATATTTCACTATACTCTGTTATAATATCTTGAAGACCTTTTAAAGATTTTTCTAGTTTTCCTATTGGTATTATTACATCATCCGCATATAGGGAGATTACATGTGACTTTTGATTTACTTCAATTCCTGTTATACCTAAAGATTCCCTTATCGCTGTCGCCAGTGGTTCAATAATTAAAGCAAAAACTAATGGGGATAAAGGGCAACCTTGCCTAGTGCCATTTAAAATGACAAACCTTCCTGACCGAAAATTTTGGCCGATTACACTAGCGCTCGGAGATGTATACAAAGCGGCAATCGCCTTAGAGGCAAAATCACCTAAGCCATATTTTGACTGGGTGAGGAACATAAAGTCCCAATCCACCCTGTCAAATGCTTTCTCAGCATCGAGACTCACAAAAACTGCTGCTATTTTTTTATATTTAACCACTGAAGTTATATTTAACAGTTTCCTGATATAATCGGAATCCAACCTCCCCTGAATAAAACCCATTTGATCAGAATTGATCAACTTATGGATATATTGATTCAATCTTTCCGCTAGAATTTTAGCATAAATCTTTATATCTACGTTAAGCAGAGAGAGAGGTCTAAAATCACTGCATTCAGGGGTTAATTTATGTGTTTTGGGGATTGTGATTATTTGTGCTTCCAACTACTCTGGGTGAGCTGGGCCAGCATTCTTTTTTTCTTTTAATGTTTGGCACAGGTAACTAGAAATCTCCCCTTGACAGAGTGAGTAATATTGATTGATTAGCCCATCGGGACCAGGGGCTGAGCCCAATTTCAATTTTGAAATTGCCCATTTAATTTCCTGTTCGGTAATATCCTCATTTGTATTTGCCAACGCCATTTGAGAAAACTCTAGAAAGATGAATCTTATCCAAAAATTCTGCGATTTTCCTTTTTTTTTCACCTGCTATCTATATTTGGGGAATTCAAATTATAAAGGGCATGATAGTATTTCTCAAAGCATGCGGCAATATCAACAGGCTTAACAAAAAGTTCTTTATTATGTCATAGCCTGTTTATTCTACCATTATTAAATTTTTGTTTCAACTTGCTAGCCATCAGTTTCCCTGCTTGATTTTGACCATGATATAATCTTTGTTGCAAGGCCCATGTCAGCCAGAAGTTGCTGAATTCTTATTATTTGTGATTGTATTTCTCGAATTTTATTTCTTTAACTCAGAAGGGGATTTTTTATTCTCTCTGTCTAATAAAATAAATTCTATATGTAGGTCTCTTAGTGATTTACCTCTCTTCTTCTTTAATATTGACTGGCATTTTATCATTATCCCTCTTATATAGGCTTTATAAGAAAGCCACACTATTTCTTTAGAGTTAACAGTACCATCATTACTTAAAAAGAATGCAACCGTTTCATTTTTTCTATTTTTTTTTATTTTTTTTTATATTTCCGGGTCCTTTAGTAATTCTATGTCCATTCTCCATAATCTATTATTCTTAACGGGAGGGTCTAAACCCAAACTTACTCCAACCAGCCCATGGTCGGACCACGTAATCACCCCTATTTCTGCATGTTGAACTTTAGAAATACTCTGCCCATCCATAAAAATATAATCCAATCTACTATACATTTTATGTCTGTGAGAAAAGAAATGAATAGTCCCTCTCTAAAGGGTATAACGTTCTGCATGTGTCATACAAATTATATTTAAGTAGTAATTTATTAAACTTTTTGAAGTTTTGGACTAACTGAGGATCCGATTTTATCTCTCCTATTGAATTTCTGTCCACAGTTGGATCCAAAGGTACATTGAAATCTCCGCAAAACCACCAGAGTTCCCATAAAGAATTTTTTCATTACTTTCAATGTCTGGCTAATAAATGTAATTTGCCCTTTATTAGCGGCATACATATTTATGATTGTAAATTTCTGAGAATTAATCAGGCCTGCCCATAATAGATAATGTCCTTCTTTATCTTTTATGACAATGTCTTCTTTTATTAGTAGAGTTTTATTAAATATTATTGAAGCCCCTCTCGATTTACTTTTCGAATAGGTGGCACTATATGGATTAGAATAATATCTATTGCCAAAAAAGGGAATTTTATTAGTCTGCCAATGGGTTTCTTGAATACTAATAACATCCGGTTTACCCCTAAACAGATTTTTAAATGCTTTGCTCCTTTTGCCCACTGTATTTAAACCCTGGACATTTTGACTAATAATCCTCAGATTCTTGGAGAACCAAACCAACCAACAATCTGAGGACCTTCTAACCTGCCTTCATCAGCACCTTCCACCCCACGTCTCGGAACCTCCCAGAAATCATAACATACACATTCACACCCATTCATCCAAACAATAAAAACATTTTTTATTGTATATAAAAATATATTACCAGTATCAACTAGCATCTAATATGCTAAGGCATTTAGTGCTATTCTCAAGGCTTCCATAGTATGTATATGTAATAAAAAATAAATATATATATATATATATATATATATATATATATTATCGCAAACATTTCACAAACAGAAGGTTGTGTATGGTTACCTAGCTTTTTGTTTTTATAAACCTTCAGTTGCAGGTGTCTGAATCAGATTCTCTGTAATATGGTTATCCCCTTAAGGACACAGCTTCAAAAGATTGTCTTACCCTTAAGAACACAAGCCATTTTTGCATTTTTTGCTGTTTGTGTTCAAATGCAATTTGCATTTATTGGACCAACACATATACCATTTTTATAGGGCAAACAGGGCTTTAATTTTATTTGACCATCTTAATTTTTAGTTTTTCAAACAGTGAGTCAGTAGCATTAATGTTGAGCACAGTACAATGTAACTTAATGCAATGTTTTGGGATACAAGCTTCCGTAAAACAATATTTCAAGAACATCGGCTTATAAATTATTGCAGTATTGTAACATGGAACGATAATCGTTGGCAATTTACCATGTATCGGGCATACAGTCATAAGTGCAAGCACACCTGGGCTTATCCATCCACGGGTGACTGTCGCTCGAGTCCTGTTAACATGGCCTGGGAGTCATCCTGTCAAGTCAGTCGTGTACTAATAGTGCACCTACTTCTAGAGCTGTCGATATGCGTGAGTTCCTACCCATAGCTGTCTAGCAGAGTCTGCTGTCCCGGGCCTGTCCACCAAACCTATACAAGTTGCGTCTATGTCGTCTGTCAGTTATACAGCAGTTGGTCGGACCCCAAGACCCGTTATGCCTCTTTTTCGCATCCTGCCAGCTCAGAGTAATGGGCTAGGATGCTCGGTCGACTACCCTGGGATCACCGGGACTCAGTTTGGAAACCCTGGTAACTTCCCAAGTATACTGTGTCTGTACAGGTGTGTAAGTCAGGTGCAAAGCAGGCATAGGGTGAAAGTAGGGGCTAGGAGGGAGGCAGCCAAGGGCAGGTTGGGTGGGGAAGTTAGAGAGAGTGGAGGGTAGTGGAGAAGGGGGAGAATGGCAGAAGCGGAGCGGGGAGAAAAGATGAGAAAGGGTGAGAGAAGGCTTTCTAAAGATTCCCCCACCACACCTCTCCAGTACGCCGAAGCACGAATTCCTCTGTCCCTGTGACATGTCCTCTTGGCCCAGAAGTGTGTCTAATTGTCCGCCCCTTCCCCATCTTCAGGTTGGAGGTGTGGGTTCGTGTTCATAGTTTGGTCTTCGGGATATAAAGTCAATCCATGGGGTCCACGTCTGCAGGCAGCGGTCCACGGTTCCCCTCTGTCCATCCATTGTTGGAGGGTGGCACCTTTGAGGTCCGTCATTTAGCTGGGATGAGCAGTTTGGCTGCATGTAGTAGGTGTTTGGGTAACAATTTTTTTGTACTTCGAGAGGGGCATTGCAGAATGATGAAGGAGCAGTTGGAGCTGGAGATCGTTATCCAGTATCCAGTATTTCCTTCATCTGTGCATGGACTTGGGTCCAGTATGGGGCTATTTTTCTACATGACCACCAGATGTGTAGGTCTGAGCCTACCTCCTCTTTGTATCTCCAGCAGGTCGAGACCTCAGGGGGGGCCTCAGGGAGCATCCGGTGTATTCTCTCAGGCGTTCTGTACCATCCGGTCAATAATTTGTTGTTGAGTTCCTGTTGTTTGGAACACATAGAGCTTTGATGGGTCAGAATGTGGATTTTCATCCACTGAGGGTCCGAGAGCATGACTCCCGTGGCTCCCTCCCAGCGCGCCATATGTTTCGCTGGTTTGGTTCGAGCTGTGTCCTGGAGCATCACGTAGAAAGTCGAGATGCCTCTGTACAGGTGCGCTCGTGCTCTACACAGTTCTTCAAACTCCCTCAGATTCCTGTGGAATAGGCGATGCCCGTACTGGGACATGTAATATGTCTTCATTTGAAAGTAACAAAGTCTGTCTAGGCCCGTCGGGGTCTTATTTGGCAATAGATCCCAGAGCTGCTTCAGTGCGTCCGCTGTGCACCACTGATGCATGTATGTCCAGTCCGATTCCCTGAAAGCTCTGACGTCCAATGGTGTAAGGACCCCCGCCATTCAGGGTTGTAAGTGATTGGGGTCAGTGGTCCCGGAGTTGTGGTTAGCATCAGTCTGGTTCTGATGGAGTAGCAGACCCTCCACGTCGCTCCAATGAACGGGTGGTTCAGAGTCCGCGTGTTCCTCAGGGGGCCACACCGCTGCCAGGAGCGTCCCTTCCAACTGTGCTCTCTCCATGTGTATCCAAGTCTTGCTAGTCTTAGGTACGTGCCAGTCCACCACTCGATGAAGCTCTATGGTAGTTTTGTATGGAGGAAAGTCCCACTCCCCCCTGTGCCTTCGGCATGTGCAAGTGAGTGCAAGTCTAGGAGCCTTGGATTGCCATATAAACCGGGAGATGGCTGCATCCATGTTTCAGAAGAAAGTCATTGGTAAACTTATCGGGATGGTCTGGAAAAGGTTCAGAAAGTGAGGGAGGAGGTTCATCTTGATGGCATTCATTCTACCCAACCACGAGACACAGAGGCCAGCCCACCGTGATGTTTAGTGGGCGTATGGTGTTGTCCCTCGCTTCCTGTCCAGGAATGAAGCCAACCTGATCGGGGTTCACCAGTTCTGGGAAGACGCCACTGACGTGCGTTGCGATAATCTTCGTAAAGAGCTTCAGATCCACATTTAGGAGTGATATCGGCCTATAGCTGGCACAGAAAGTCGGGTCTTTACCCTCCTTTGGGATTACGACGATCGTCACTGTTAGAGAATCCCTTGGGAAAGCCCCTCCCTCCACGAGGGAGTTAATGCCGGTCAAGAGTCTGCGGAGAAGCACGTCCCCGAACTCTCTGGTGTATCTTACAGGTAGTCCATCTGGTCCCGGCTTTGTTTAGCTTGGAGCCTTTCAGTGCCGTTTGAAGTTCTTCTAGCGTAATGGGGGCCTCCAGTTCTGCAGCCATAACCTGACTCAAAGTTTTAGTGACATGCTGTTGCAGATAGTCCGTGAGTCGTACCTCCTTGCAGTGGCCTGCTTCTGGGGTGTCCTCTGTGGGTAAGTTATATAAGGTGTCGTAAAATCCCTGAAATGCTTCAATACTTTTGTCTGGTATTTGGGTTGTCGTCTGATCTTCAGTTTTGATTTTTGTAATGTGGCACATGCGTCGTCTCTTTTGGAGCATCCTGGTGAGGAGGCGGCCGTACTTGTCTGAGTACTTGTAGAAAAAGCGGTGGGACTTGCGAAAAGTGTGTTGCAGTTTCTGGTGCAAAATATCTCGCAGAGTCCTTCCGGCTTCCAGAAGGGTCCTGTAGCTTTCGTCCGATTTCGTGGATTTATGAACACCTTCTAGTTCTTAGATCCGCTGGGTTAGCTCAGCCATACGTTGTCACTGTTCCTTTTTCCTTTGGGTACACAGTTTGATAAGCTGTCCCCGTAGAACGCACTTATGCGCTTCCCACATAGTTAAGGACAGCATGTTTGGGGATTCAAGAAAGTGGTCAATACCGAGCGGAGTTTCGTGACAATGGGCCTGTCCGTGAGAACCGATTCATTCATTCTCCATTGGCGATCTCTGGGTTGGAACAAGGGGGGACTTAAGGCACGTCGATATGGGGGAATGGTCGGACCAACCCAACGGTCGGATTTCAGCCGATGTGAGCAGGGGTAGGAACTCTTGAGCTAGTAGTATATAGTCTAGTCTGCTATAGCGCTTGTGGACAGTGGAGTAATAGGTGTAGTCCCTATCACTTGGATGGAGACCAGATCCGTGTAATGTGTCCCTATTGTCTCTCGGACCCCTCTGGAGATGTCGAGTCTCTGTTCAAGAGCGACATTCAGGTCGCCTGCCACTATCAGCAAGCCCTCTCTAAACTGTTCGAGCTTATTCAGCGTCTACCTGAGAAATCTATGTTGTCGAATATTAGGTGCAATTATGCTCGCAAAGGTATATATGCAGCTAGCGATGGTGCCTTTAAGGAAAAGGAAGCGACCCATGGTGTCCGCTAGCACTCCTGTGCATTCAAACAGTATTGCAACTCCAGCCTTTTTAGTTGACTGGTGGTTTGCAAAGAACCCTGGGGGGTATCTTGAGTCCCGCAGTGTCGGGGCCGTGTCCCCTCAAAAGTGGGTCTCTTGTAGGAATGCAATGGACACCCTCGTAGCCCACAGGGAGCGTAGTAGATGCGACCTCCGTTCGGGTACATTTAGGCCTCGGACATTGTTCGAGGGCTTTAATTTTATTTCCCATACATTGATAAATTCACATTAATAATGAAAAATAACAAAACAAATTTTTTTTCACAGTTTTGGCAATAATAGTGTGTGCATAATATGTCCAGCTTAGAAAAAGTAATTCAAAGTAAATTCATTTATGTGTCTTGATTTATAGAGTACATAATATGTATAGGATTTCAGCTTATTTTGAAAGTTACAGGTCACAAAATACAAGGACTAAAATAAAATTTTTATGTGAAACAATTTTAGAAGTTGCTATGTTTGTCTTGTAGGTTTAGTAACCACCACAGAAAACAAATTTAACACACAAAAGTATATATTTATATAAAGTAGACATCACAGGCTATTTACGTAAGGTTAGTTTGACACTTTTTACGTAACCATTTCATCGCCAATCTCTGCTAAATATTGGAGTAAAATAGTGTTTTTCTCTATTTTGGCATATAAACATATAACAAGGTTTTTGTAATGTGTATTTCGTAAAGCTGGTGTGTGCTATTCCTGCAGAACCACATATTGTGTTCAGCTACATCTGCTGCGTACGATAGCCCCATTGTATGCCTTTGGCACTATTCTGTGAAGCTACAATGCCATATAAGAGACAAGGCCTTTCCGTTTCTATAGTTAGAATTTTTGTATATGGATTTGACGGGCCTATGTCTCATTTTAGGGTATTATAGCAATGTGGCTGTTCAAATAACCCCACAAAGGGCTTTCATTTAATAAAGTAGACACCCCAAGGTATCTTATATGGTGTAAATTGTGCCTTAACTTGTCACAATTTTTTCACCAATTTATGTCAATGTTTCTGGTGAGGCGAAAAAAATGGCATTTTTACATATATGTCGCATTTTTGCTGAGTATTTCTTACACTTGATATGTACCACTGTCATAAAAAACAAATTATGCTCCGTTACATCTTCTGAGTAAAACAATATGCCCAATGTATGACCTAGACACTATTTTGTGAAGTTACAGTGCTGTAAAAGAGACGTGACAAGTTCAGGTTTTTAAGTGTGAATTTTCATGGAGGGTTTTGATGCGTCCGTGTCCCACTTTGGAGCACTTGAGCAGACTACATATTCTAACTGCACCATAAAGGCATACCATTTCTTAAAGAAGACATCCCAGGGTATTTCAAAAGCATATTTTGAACCTTAGCGTGGGTAATTTTTCCGCTAGCTTGTACCAAGTGTAGTGGTAATAAGAATCTTTTCTGCCTTTTTGACACACACTGAGTTTGCGCAGTATATTTTGCAAACCTTATGTGTGCTACAACTGTATTATACTTTTTATACTACAGGGCCGTTGAATGTGCCTTCAAGGGCACACTTACCCAAAAACCACTCTCTCACTGTCAATTATTCCTTACATATGTTGCTCAGCTATGTCGGCTGAGTACAGCAGTACAGCGGGCTTAACAGTGAGAGAGTTGTTTTTTTAATAAGTGTGCCCTTGAAGGCACATTAGTCTGATTTTCTACCAAGATCAGGACTTACCTATATTTTCTCCTTTCCCAACTCTCTACTGCCTTTATGATACTATCTAGTATTATACCGTTTTTGTACCACGACTACATAAGGCATTTACTGTCAATATTTGCACTGCATTGCCCTAACAGTGGAATAGATTTTGTAAATATTCTTTTATTATACTTTACCTTATATTAATTTTAACTAAGTACAATAAAAGTTAAGTTTTAGCATTTGCTCGTTCTCACTCACTCACATAGATTTTGGAGATTTATGTATTTTGTTTTCGTTTTGTATTTCCATATAAAATTATAGTACCCATTTTTATACAAATAAAAACTATATTTAGATATAGTTCCATATACTCTACTTTTAAAGATTACTAAATAGATCAGGGTTGTCTAACCTGCGGGCCCCCAGATGTTGCCGAACTACAACTCCCATTATTCCCTGGCTGAGTTGTAGTTCAGCAACATCTGGGGGGCCGCAGGATGGACAGCCCTGAAATAGATCATGCTTGGTGATTGTTGCATATAGAACTACATTAGTTACAAATAACTCCCTATGTTAGAAAATTAATATGCATAAGTAACCATTTGGATGTTTCAGTGAGTCCAGCTTCAGCAGCTGAATAAGTATCATGTTCTATATCTGGATCAGTTTGGATATAGTATATGTTTAGTTTTGATACAACTCCCTTGTTTCTAAAGTTAAAAATCTTAACTTCCCTGATCAATATATATTTTTCAGTTGTATCTTACTATGGCCAAAAACAGATGTTTAAATAGGAATTCTATCACTTTAGCCCCCTGAACTGCATAGAGCCCCCTTTTTCATTCGTCTTTCTCAGGATAATTCACTAAACATGGAACTGTAGTGAATTGGTCAAGGTTAAAACAGCCAAACTGGGACTCAAATCTTTTATGGCTATTTTCTATGTATCTGCTATTTTAGCATAACTGTTACTTCAGATTTAAAATTACAATTCGGAGTGGCTAAAAGGGGCACACATATATAAAATAAAATTAAAAACGGGGGCGACGACACTATTTAAGGACTTTTTGAGTTCACAAGACATGGGTTGTTTAATGGTTACAGGCTGTTTTTTTATGAAAATACATAACTTTACTGACACTAGCTTCCGATTATATGTATACGTGTTAATGGAAGCATCTGAATGTTATTGTATACCTTGCCGTGGTGTCGAACCTTGACATAAATAAAGAATTATAAAAAAAAAATAAAAAATTACAATTCGGAGTTTAATGACAAATGAGTATATGGACTCAAAGTAAAACATCACCTTGAATTTTTATTTTGTTAGTTTGCCATTGGTGAAAGAAATGTGCAGTGGGGAAATAAAAGCATGAAGTGATCAAAGTTCAGATAGTGCTAATGTACCAAATAAATAAACACAGTGATTTTAAACATAAGAAGTAATAGAGGCAAGACAATTCTAATGCCAAATGTATTGGGATATTTTTTTACATTTTGTGTGCTGTACTACTTTTTTTGTGTATGTTATTTCAGGTCTCCAGTTATGGCCGGTGGTCTATTCGCTGTAGAGAAAAGATGGTTTTGGGAACTTGGAGGATATGATCCTGGTTTGGAGATTTGGGGAGGAGAGCAGTATGAAATTTCTTTCAAGGTCAGTTTGAGCCTTTTGAGAACGGTTTTTAGGTTCTTCCTACTTTGCGTGCAGGGATGCTGGATTACTGGATTAACCCCAGCTAAAATAGTGTATTACTATACTTCTTAATTCTTACTGACATTTGTGTAAAACCACGAACTGTGGGTATCTAGCAGGCACTTTTACCAGAGAGAGTTACTCATTGCACCCCTTGTAATTAGTCATTTGCCGTGATACACTTTGATGGGTTTAGGAGAGGTCACATAAAAATGGCTAGTTTATTGTGTCTGAAATTAAGATAAAATAGTGCAGCCAGCTGTAGCTGTTAGATTAATAACTGTGATGAAATCACAAGCACAAAGGGGAAGGATGCTGTGAGGAGGGCAAGTGGAAGTTAGAAAATGAAGGATTGTTTGGCTTTGGGGACTAAGTAAGCTTATTTATTTTCATGCTGTGAAGACACCATTGTTCTAAGCAACCAAGAGTATAACTGGAGATACTTAACACTTTCTCTGCATGAGCCACAAGCAAAGTAGCGCTATTATTTTTTCACAACAGTATAAATAAGTAAACACATTAACTGAAAATCACTGAATTTGACTATGGGATTACACCTCATTTTTTCTCTTGTCTTGCACTAGGGTAAAGCATCCATCAATGCACAGCGCACAGACAAAAAAGTTTATTATACCAAGCAGTTTTGGAATCTTGAAAGCACATAGCAGATTACCATAGGCGTGCGTAGCCTGTTGCATAAGGGTGTGCACCCTAAAGCACAAACACACATGCCGCGTATGTATGTATATATATATATATATATATATATATATATATATATATACACACACACACACACACACATACATACTGCTGTGTGTGGGCGTGGTGTGTGTAAGGGTGCTGTTAGTGAGTGTGTGTGTGTGTGTGAGGGTGCTGTGTGTGTGTGTGTGAGGGTGCTGTGCGTGTGTGTGTGAGGGTGCTGTGCGTGTGTGTGTGAGGGTGCTGTGCGTGCGTGAGGGTGCTGTGCGTGCGTGTGAGGGCGCTGTGTGTGTGGGCGCTGTATGTGTGAGGGCGCTGCGTGGCGTGTGTGTGTGAGGGCGCTGCGTGGCGTGTGTGTGTGAGGGCGCTGCGTGGCGTGTGTGTGTGTGAAGGAGCTGCGTGTGTGTGTGTGGGTGCTGTAAGTATGTGTGTGTGTGTATTGTGTGGGGGTGGGGAGACCGTTTAGTTAATAGCCCCCATCCCTTCTTACCTTTTATAGGGAGGGGGGACTGTATTGCTGACATCCCTGGTGGCAACGCTCCGACCTCGCGAGAGGAACCCAGCGGAGCTGCAGCCTAGAGCTCCCCGGGGCCTCTCCTGCCTCCCTCCCTGCCTGTAGGCTGGAGAGGGAGATCTATGATCTCCCTCACCGGCTCATGGAGGCACACCCCGTGCGCACGCCTATGCAGATTACATCTCCAATGATGCTTAAGCAGCCATTTGGCCAGCTTTGCATATTGTGAAGCATTGTCCATCACTGCTGGAGCTTGACAGGTAGCCCTTACTGCTACACAGCATTCTGTTTTTACATTCAACTAAAATAACCAAGATTTACAGTTACCTGCTGATTTGGATTATTTGATTGTAAACGTGTGTTTTCTTTTAGTATGATATTTTTTTTATATATAACTACTAATGTCGGGCTGGCTGACATGATCTGTTGCAGAGCTGTAAAAAACAAATGACATTATCTTGCTTATTTTGAAGTTCTTTGAGTGTGTTCTTCACTTTGGCTGAGATCATCAAACTTGATGATCTTAGCCAATCCAATGCTTTCCTATAGGGAAGCATTGGGATGCTATTGTGAATGTGTGGCAAAAAGCTGCACGGCCAAACAGCATCTCCATGGGAAGCATTCAGCTCCTCCATGCAGACCCAATCTAACACACTGCCTCTCCTCCCACTCTTAATACACTGCCCACAAATCCAATACAATTCCCCTCCCTAATCCTAATACACTGCCCACAAATCCAATACATTGCCCCCAAACCCAACACACTGCCCCTCCTCCTTCCACTCCACCATACACTGCCCCTTCACCCAATCTAATACATTGCCCCTTAATCTAATACACTGCCCCTCCTCTCTCCACTCTAACTGAATAGACTGCTCCCACTCCCACCACTCTACTTTAATACACTGCCCCCACCACTCTAATACACTGGCCTCCTCCCTCCCTCAAATAAATACACTGCCCCTTCCCCATTTTAATACAATGTCCCCCTGGCTTCTCCCAATTTAATACACTGGTCCCTTCCCTCCCCCAGGTTAATACCCTGCCCCCTCACCACTACCACTCTGCACTGCCCTCCCAACTTAACACACTGGCCCCCACCCTCAAATTAAAACACTGTCTCACTCCCTCCCCAAATTAATAGTGCCCCCTCCCACCCTCAAATCAATACAGTGCCCCCTCCCTCAAATTATTACACTGGCCTCCTCCCTTCATCAAATTATTACACTGGCCTCCTCCCTCCCTCAAATTATTACACTGGCCCCCTCCCTCCCTCAAATTAATACACTGCCCGCCCTTCCCCTCCCTCCCCATCTCCCTCCCCATCTCCATCTCCCTCCCCATCTCCCACCCGATCCCCATCTCCCACCCCATCTCCCTCCCCCTCTTTTTCCCCCTTCCTCCCTTCCCCTCCCTCCCTCTCTCCCTTCCTCCCCCCCCCAAATCATATTTAAATTCTAACGCAGTTTAAAGGGACTACTTTGTCTTATGGTACAGCCTCAAGTTAAAAAAATGTGACAAAAGGCGGATCTTCTGCCATCAGTTCCCACAGCTTTGGCTAGCAATGGTTGCAGGAATCAGGCAGTGTCTCACTCACCACGAGACTTGATCGGTGACAGCCCTTGCAGGATCTCCTATAGACATCACAATTCTAATCTTGAATCCGAAGTGGTAATGCCATCATTGAGGGTGTTTACAAAGTAAAACATGTCATGTTAAAATAATATATTTATCTTCCTTTGAATTATTACCATAATAGATCATCAGTCCCATAGGTGATAAATATCTCATAAAGCTATATTTTAACCATGTTTTCTTATTGCCAATTGTATAATTCTGTTTGTGTTTGCTTATAGTACTTGTTTGGTGACCTGCATTTAAAAATAAATAAATAATTTGTTTAGATTATTCTTTCATATCATGTTTATTGCTTGTTTTTTTGCTTGTTTGTTTTTATAGGTATGGATGTGTGGAGGAAGAATGGAGGATGCCCCATGTTCCAGAGTAGGTCATATCTACCGAAAATATGTACCTTACAAGGTCCCTGCTGGTGTCAGTCTAGCTAGGGTAAGTCATCTGGCTATGGTATACATGAACAACAATGGCCTTCTTGTATTCAATTTGTTTTTGTTTTGTTTTATTATTTGTGGTTTTAATACCCTTTATTTTATGTAGAATGACAGACTGTTGTATTACTAAAGGAAAACAACTAACGTACAACATATTTTATATCTTGAATGCTGGCTTTTTTAAATTAACACATGCCTCAGATAAGAAGTGTTGGCGTCAGTGTTTCAGCTCCCTCTACTGACCATAAAATATATTTCAAACTGCCTCTTTGAATGACTTCATAAATGCATATCTACTAATGTTAAAAAGCACCAAATAACCTTAGTCTGGTCTTTAAAAAGTATTACACTTTTAAATACTATCTACAAAAATACTAGGTGATCACCCATGTTTCATCCAGCTAAAAATCACCTCTTTTAATTTACATTTGTGAATGCTTATGTATCTATAAGCTCACGGGCAGGGCCCTCTACCTGTTTTATCGGTCTGTTCTTATTGCATTGTCTTTTTTCCCAATTGTACAGTACTGCAGAATATGTTGGCGCTTTATAAATACCAGTAATAAATAAATGTAAAAATAAATATATATATATATATATATATATATATATATATATATATATGTATATGTATCAACTTGTGCATTTATACCCCACCTTTGTAAATGCAAAAGGTTTTAATTTATAGATACAGAACTCATATCAGTGACCACCTTCATCTTTTTCATTGAATAAAAATGTTGTTTTGCTATCTAATACCATTATATATTGTCTGGCCATTGTTGCTAAGCACTGTGTGGTAAGCTGTTGACATATGAGATATCATATTATATGTGATTTGTTATGTTCATTGTAGTTAGCATTTTCCTCAACAAAATTGTCCACCACCTCGGAATACTCCCTGCCCAATTTCAACGGAAAAACACGCATTATATATTCTTTACTTGGTTTGCCTAACCTGGCAAGCTTGTTGCCATAAAAAAATCGGAATGGACGGACTAGTCTGGCCTGGTAGAGTGGAAAAATGGAAAATAGGCAGAGATTCATTACATAGGGTTATACCCAGTTTGATAATAGGCTATCACCCAGATGATTTCTAATAGTAAAAACAAGCCCCCATATAGGCTTGGTAAGTAGATAGGAAAAGAGGATCGTTACATACTAGGTTACCTAAGAGGTAGCTTGATATAGGGTGTATATCACTAAATCTTGCAAAGATTCCTACTTTTAGTAGACTTAAAACTGATGATTAGTGAATAGTATCAAGAACTTATATATAAATGTGAAAATAAAAATAGCAGCAGACAAAAATTGACTAAAATAGGAAGAAATATTTATAATAGGGGGCCTGTTGACTAAGCAGTGAGTTGGTTAAAAAACTGTAGCAGTACAAATAACCACTTATATAAAAGGCTGGTGGTTCTTAATAGTGACTATAGATTGTAAAATAAATATTGTCCAATAAAGTCTATAGGTAGAGAGTTGGTTAAGTACAACTCAATAAAGTCTATCCACAGTAATATTACAGCTAGCACAATGCACTGCTGTTATAAAGAAGTAACAGAAGCTGTATTGTATCAAAAGCTTTTATAATATAACCAATTTGATATAAGATGATTATATACAGGAATATCTGTTTCTCCAAGTGTGATGTTATGACAGTCACTCATAGATCACAGACACAGATCTATAGTGACAGGATCTTCTCTGCGATCTGCAACATAAAACGAACAGCCATGCTCTCCATTTAAAACTTTTAAATTTATTGTAAAACAAAATTCACTCACAAACGTGCAGTGGAATGGAGCAAATAAAGGGTCCTTGGGAATCTGCAGGATATAGTGGTCGCTGGTTGTGAAGTAGTAAACCTCTCTCCAGCCGGCTGGGAGGTCTCGATGTTAGGTGAAAGATTAATTCATTTCACGTGCGTTCCACTTTGTTCACCCGACCTGCATTCCACTGGGACTCTGTATCTAGATGCTTGTGCAGCAGCTGCCGTAAAACCTCACACGTTTCGTGACTCTGCAGGGTCACTTCTTCAGAGGCTGGTGTTTTGACCCTTACGTTTTTATAGCACTTGCAATCACCGGCTGAACGTATCAGATCAGTATTTAACATCAAAGAGCAGTGCAATTCTTAAACGTTGCTTATGATACATACTACATACAAATTAATTTCACACAAAGTATACAAGCGGATAAAGAATAAATGTAATTATAACAATAAATAAAAGGTTTCTTATTTCGTAATGTTGCTATTCACATGTTACTTAATGCATGTACACAGTAGATATAGCCCTTATAAGTGGAGAATATTGTCTATAATTATATCAATGAAAAATAGAAATCTTTACTAAAAAAAGATATGTATACATAAAATACCCTGGTAGAAAAACTTAATGTTAGACAAATTATAGGTGCCTTGGGAGGTCTCAGGTAGAAGTACCAATCGTTATAACTTGAGGGAACTCTGTAGAGCATAAAAGCGCAATCTTTATTGTTGCATTGATCAGTGAACTAGACTGGACTGATCTTGGTGTTTATAGAAAAAGGTACGAAAAAATATCTAAAAAGGTGAAACTGAAACCCTAATGTCTAAGATGAGAATATTTCTGGAAATAGATTATATAGGTGGAGTGGATGAAATACATATTATGAAATCCGAAACAAAAGAGAGCTATCCCTATAAAGTTGGATCTAAAGACTGTTGCTGCAAAAATAATCAGGTGCATATACGAGGTTGGTTCTTAAATAGCTATTAAATAAATGTGAGCTTACCTAAAACTGTTAGGATCAATTATAAAAAATACAAGCAAATAACAGGTGTGTATATAAAGATGGATGCTGCTCAATACAAATATGTGTAAATGTATAACAAATAAAGATATTTAAGCCATGTGATAGATGGAACCTGTTGATAATACAGTACAATGGGTATGTGAAAATGGAAGTACATTAACTGAGTGGAAACTACCCATAATCAAACACTCTTTTAAAAAGTTCAATAGGAGTTGGCACATGGACCACCACACATGCTTCGATTTGGGTTTTCTTACAAAGTAGATATACAGGGACACCAATACGGATGATGGAGGTGGATAGATACACTTACAGGGTTAACCTAATAATAGTATCATTTGAGAGAGGAAAACAGGTCGGAATGGTGAATAAACTGTGTATCAAAAAAGTGGATTGGACAGGTTGCATAAATGTATTTGGGCAAGTCTGTGACTGGAAATACACCTAAAGAAAGAAAGAAAGAAACTAGCTTGTGGGAACAGAAAATAAATAAAGATAAAAATAAGAATAAATATAGAAATAAATAAAAATTAAAAATAATATAAATAATAATAATTTAATAATAAAAAATAAAGAATAAAAAAAACTAATGATAAAAAATAATAAAGCTTGTTGCCATACCTGAGTGTACATACACTAGTTGTATGAAAAAAAGCATTTAACTAGTCACTCCGCAAAAGGAATGCTGATCTCTTCCTCATCAGACGAGGCAACAAGTAGACCCAGATGCTGTTTAGTTCTTTTCCTGGTAGAGCAGCTGTCTGTGAAATAATTTTACAAAACATTCTCAGGCAGACTGCATACAATTGGTAAAACTTTGGGGAGGGGATTCAGTGCTTGTAGAGTACTGCTATAGTTCAAAGGCAGCTTAATCACGAAGTACGGAGCCTCTCTTGTCCGGTGAAGAAAGAGGAGAAATAGATTCTCCAATTGGTAAACCTTTATTTACACAGTCCTAGTTTGGAACACCTGAAATCGATTGTTTATTGGTTATACAAAATATGTGTTTGATGCAAATAAACAAAACCAAGATAAGCTAAAATGTTTTCAAATGTTTGAATTATTTGTCATTGCTTATTTCATTAATATGAATTAAATATGCATCTGCATGTTCTCAATTTAATTTGTAGAACCTGAAGCGAGTCGCTGAAGTTTGGATGGATGAATATGCAGAATTTATTTACCAGCGCAGACCTGACTACAGGCACCTCTCACCTGGGGATGTAGGAACCCAGAAAGAGCTACGAAGCAAACTAAACTGCCAGAACTTCAAGTGGTTCATGACAAATGTAGCCTGGGACTTGCCGAAATTCTATCCTCCAGTAGAGCCACCAGCAGCTGCATGGGGGGAGGTAGGGATAAATTGTCACATTACAAAGTTACATGGTTTTAAAATAATGCAATCATGGAGGAACTCGTCCAGTTTTCTTTATTTTTGCATTACACAGAACGATTTTCTTATGCGAAGTGTCACTAGGTTTACTATACTATATATAAATTAAAAATCATTACAATGATGTCCAAAACTGTTTTTTATTTAAACAAATCATTATTAAAACTATATCCATCAAAGTAGTTTGCTTATGTTCTGTTAAAATAATTTATTATTCAAGTGTTTATAAGAACAATTGGTAAAGTTTATCAGTAATTATATATAAACTTTTCTCCTGGGTTGCCTAGATCCGTAACAAGAAGACAGGCCTATGTGTAGATTCAAAGCACGCAGTTATACGCCTTGAGACTTGCACCAAAGGACGAAATGTTGATGCATGGAGCAGTAATCAGGTATAAATGGTGTAAATCTATGAAATGATAGAAATTAATCAGCCTTTCCTCCTCTTTGAGCACAAAGTGATTTGTGTATTTTGATTTGCAGGTGTTCACCTTTGGCTGGCGGGAAGACATCCGTCCTGGAGACCCTCAACACACTAAGAAGCTTTGCTTTGATGCTGTTTCCCACACTAGTCCGGTCACACTTTACGACTGTCACGGTATGAAGGGTAACCAGCTCTGGAGATACAGAAAGGTGAGTAAAGAAAATATTTTTAAAGTTTGCCTTTGGCTGTAAAATATTACTAGGTCTTCCAGTGTTAGTTTTCTATTAAATACTCCACCAAGCAAGTCACATGAAATTTTCCTTGTATAAATTGCCAGAAAACAATATTCTCTGTTAGATTAAAAGGACATGCCAGCGTTATAATTAAATACATTTCTTGATAATGCAGAAGTGTTTGTGAGTCTCCTGAGCACCCTTTCATTTACCAGTACCTTTTAAACAAAGTGATTGCTTACATCTAATTTAGCAATGAGAGTATCCTTCACCGCAGCTCCACCCACCAGGAGATCATCAGTATAGAAGTTTCCTGACCAGTCCAAGCTGAAGTGCTTTAGAAGTTCGGAATGATCCTTTAAAAATTGACACATCAGCTTATTATCACTTTAGGATTAAATTTTTTTTTCAATTTCAATGATTACGTTACTGATGCTGATACTTTAACACATATATACTGCTACAATGACAGAAGTAAAATGCTGTTGAAAGCATATTATGAGAACAACTACTCCTTGCCAAAGTTGAGGCGATTGTCTTCCAGCATTCCAATATGCACGGTAGAGGAAATGTTTCTGCATTATGATCCAATATGCAGGGTAGAGGAAATGTTTCTGCATTATGATCCAATATGCAGGGTAGAGGAAATGTTTCTACATTATGATCCAATATGCAGGGTAGAGGAAATGTTTCTGCATTATGATCCAATATGCAGGGTAGGGGAAATGTTTCTGCATGATGATCCTCAGGAAGCACAAGTTAGCCATTTAGGTGCATCAAGTATGGAGGGGCGAGTTGCTAGCAATTCAATAGAGAGAGAAAATCTGGGCACACAAGGTAGTTTCCAAAAATAGCAGAATTTGTTTCAGCAATGTTTTGGCTCAATGACTGAGCTTTTATCACGCCTCAAAGTGCTTCAGAGTTTGATAGAGCTGAATGTAGCAATGGCAGTTGATGTGCCTGATTCTGCAGGGGTCACATCAGAAAGGCATGGTTCTCCTTGTGCTGCCTATGACACTGATTATGTGGTATCCCCTCATAATATTTCATTGCATAGCTAATTTGTCCAGCTATAGTCCACTGGAGTTTATGTAGCTATTCATGAGGGAATAATATTTTAGGGGACATTGTCACCCAGACAAACACTTATGACGAACAATGTGATATACTTGATATACTAACATTTGAATTTTATTCTTAGGACAAGACTATTTTTCATCCCACCAGCAACAGTTGCATGGATTGTAATGAATCAGAGCGCCGAATATTCATGAATATTTGCAACCCTTCCTCGCCAACTCAACAATGGACTTTTGAAAACATCAATTCCACAGTCTTAGACATCTTCAACAGAACATGAACTCAAAAGAATCAGAGAAATATACACATATAAATAGGAATATATATATATATATTTGAAATCTATATTTTTTACAATGGGTGGGTGGGCGATGGAAAAAAAAAAGTTTATTTTTCTGTTTTGTTTTTGTGTAGGAGAAATGTGTAGGCTGGGATTGTCTACATTTCAATGATGCTGTGGCTAAACATTACCTACCTTTAACATGAAAGCATTTAAGTTAAATGCAATTTCATTTGAGATTTTTGTTTTTCTCACTAGTTACATAGTATTGGTGGTTGGTGATCTTTATTTAGTCTAATGGTTAGGCCAATGTTATTCATATAATAGACAAGAGGCTACAGCCTCTGCAAAAACTTATTGTGCCTTTTCACACAGGCTGTTGCACTTTACATTCATGCCATACATGTGCTTACTTTCTCTTATCCGTTATGTCATGTGGTGGCAGAATTGAGATGCCAGTCATGAAGTAAAGCCAAACTGTGCCAGTTAACCCATTGAAGGTAGAAGATGGTAGAGCTGTTTGTGTATATTTTTCCAAAATATATCTAAATTTATTCTCTCTAAACTAGCAAAACATAAAACTAAAGTGCAAAAGTGAGTAAAAGAAGTCAGAAAATGTTTTGTATTCTGTTGTCACAATAGAATTGATATTCCTTAATTTTAATCTACATACAGTCATCCTGTTACCGAGGTGTGGCCCCATTTGTACTTGCTCTGAACAACCTTTCTCACTGTAACTAATGGTCCCTTTCCTAAAGGGTTTGATATAGTGCATCATTAAATTAGCCAGCTTGCAAGCACAAGTTATCAGCAAATGTTTAAACTTGAACCATTTTCTAGTGCCTTGCTGGACAAGAGGTAGATGAGACATGGTTAAGCACTGTTTTGGAAAGTCAAGGCTGCGTGCAATTGTTTTGTAAATATAATTAATGATTTTTGGCCTTAACACATTTATATACCCAAATGCTGTTTGTGTCTGGCAATCAAATAATCAAGCTAACTTCATTGTAGGGTGTCGTATGTATCGATATCATTGGCTCTGTTGTGAATTATTTAGAGGTTTATGCATCAGGCTCGGCGTGCAACAGGTATATCAATAATTTCATGAATTCTGATAAAAGAATGTAAAAATCAGTTCTGGTGCTGCTATTTTCATCAACCCTGAAGCTGTTTAGAATCACAGTCTTTTCTTTATATTCTGTTGTCAGAGTTTGATGAGTGAATTGAATCTTTTCTGTTTCGGTGCAGCTCTATTCATCAAGCAACTCTGAGGTTATACAGAAACAGACACATTTCCTTCTATTGTGTCAAAGAAAATAGTTCGTTAAATATAGTGTTTCTGTTGACTGTTTCATTAATTTAGCACACTGTATCAGAATTAGCACATTGTTTTATGGTTGTTTGGTGTGGGTGGGCGAGTAGTAAACCGATATCTACATAAAATCATGACCTCCAAAAATTATGAGTTTGCAAAATGATGAATACATTCCAAAGTACTTTACAGATGCATGAAATCCATAAAATGTTTTGAATGCAATAACTGATTGTATATCTACTTTATGTTGGAAAAAAAACCTATGCATTTATCCTGCATCTTTATTTTGATACTGGTTACATAATTAAACCTAGACCGGGCACTACCACTCTACCTTGAAAATAAGCATTTACTACACATCTCTACTCAGTGCCACATTTATTAGTAAGGCTCATGGTGAAAAGTGTATTAATCCACTGCCTAATAGGCTCTCCCTCATGAGAATTAAGAAAATGTATGTAACTTTAACAGTCATACAGATAAATTGCCATACCCAGATAGATACTGTTTTTCATACATTTGTACAGATACAATCAGACACTTACAAATACTGACATTTTTTCACAAGACAATCCCAGATATTCTAAGATATATTTAGACTCTGTTACCTACTTTCTGGCTCTCTTAGTCTTAATCTGTGGCGCACTCTTTAACTTGCTCAACTATGCCCTCACCAACAAACTGAGGCACACACTCACATGTTGTCATACAAACACTGTGATGCACACACTGTCCTAGATTCCTGCACCGTGACGTGCACACTTACACATAGTCCTACAAACACTGTGAGTACCCCCCTATACACACACACATATTCCCGCAAACACACCCTTAGCAGACATTTTCACAGACATACGGATACACACACAGACAATCTCACAGTCACTCTATAAGTAAAAGTGAACAAGAACAGAACCCCATCTCAATTTCTTACTTTGCAGTAGTGATGCCTTATTTCCCTAGGTATTCTGGGCCAATACAATATTTATCAAAGGTTTTCAACATCAATAGTCCTCCAGCTATTAGTTTATTTTTGGAGTGCGTTTGTTTGTTGTGGTTTTTTGTTTTTTGTTTTTGAGGGAGGCTCAACACGCTTTACTCTGAGACAGATTTTGCATGGATGAGAGTCAATGGCAGGTTTTACATTCTAGAATTCTGTGTATACCATGTATGCAACCACATTATCTACCGACTACCTCTGCTTAACAACACACGACCACATAGCATGAATACTTAGTAGACTACTTAAAAACTGCTGGCAGCTGTTTTGTGGTAGTGCATTAAGATTAAAAAAATACACTGTGTATTTGCTAGTGGGCTTTGCAACCATGACTAGGAGAGTTGATTTGTTTTGTTTTTGGAAAATGTAACTGCTTTTCTTTATACCACTACACATATGAGAGAAGAAAAAAAAAAAATTCCTTGAAGGTTTTCTGAGCATTCATCTTACTGTGCTTTTTTTTATAGAATGCTTGTAAACTAATGTTAAGAAATTTCTACATGCCCTTGTTTTTGTATGTGTCTAGGCGTGCTTGTTTCTGTACTTGTGTGATGCAAGTGCATACATATACATCTAGAGGAATACTGTTCAAATCCAATTCTTGCAGCCTGTGTAATAAATCCATTGCAAAAATGCTTTGATAACATAATTGTATAAAGTCATTATATAGAGATACATTGAATTTCTTTATTATACATTACACACTTACCTCATCTCCAGTGGTGCAGGTAACCACCACCTTCTACTCACATTTTCCTCTTGCCGCTTTCCTGCACAATTAGCCCTGCTTGAGAACACTTCCCCAAGCAGGGCACACCTTCCTCATTAAGCAGACAGGCTTATATATTTTTATATATATATAGATACACACACACACACACACACTCTTAAAAGCTTTAGTAAAAATCATATAACTTCATTTTCCAGCCACCACAATTACAGTATGAGGGGTAGAATCCTACAACTAAAAACTGCAATATATATGTTGAAACAATGTTTGCATTCTTGCTTTGTTGAGTTTAACTAAAATAACATATATGTATATTCCTCATAAATCCTGTTACCCGTTGTTCTACAAATAATTGTGAAATAAGTTGCAAATTTTAATTTTGAATTTGTCTCAATGTGTCTGTCTTTTCATATGTAACTGTTTATATCTTATGTTTGCTGGGGTTGTAAAAAAACAAAACGATTTAATGATGGTTGGTGGAATGCTGCCTCTTACTATCAGTATGGGAATTTGTAACAATGTTTAGAAAAAAATCCCTGCCTTGAAATGGATGCTGTTTTTCAGTCATATCACATACATAATATTGTAAATGTTGATTGCAGCAAACCATCATTTTTCAACTGCAGTTGAAAAATAGTTTGTTAAACAACTGTATAAGTAACAGTTTATAAACTTCAGATTAAACCACTAATATTACTAACATTGTCCTATGAAATGAGAGGAACCCTTTCAACAACACATACTGTCATTAATTCTTTGATTCAGAGGTGTTTGGGACTGATGAGGGAGGGCAGTTAGTTTTGGCACTTTAACCGTTGTGGCTTTTATGATGCATTGCTAGGTTTTTAAAGGCTAAATGATCATTTATTTTATAATGTATTTAAATTGAATAAATTTTACAATTATTCAGATTTTCAATATTCTTTCATTATTCCTAGTCAAAACATTTGTTTTATCACTGTGTCTGTACCAAGCTTGTTTTGTGAGTTTATGAAAGGTTCCAGAACAAGCAATACTATGCCATATCTTAGTCTGCCTGAAGTTGTTGTGATGGATACAATAGAAAAAGTATGGTAAATGACAAAGTCAAACAAATCTGTATTCCTAATGCTATAGTGCCCCTTTGCTATAGTGTATCTGTATAGGTCAACCCCCTTCCGTTAGCCATAAAAATTAGCAAAATAAGTTTTACTTAACTTTTTGAATCACCATGGCTCCCTATGAGCTGCACACCTCTCCACTTCCCGCAAGGTCATTGAGGAGACATGGCTTTCTCCTGCAATTCTCTAATTCAGTGCTCGTCATAGAGGAGAATTGGGTACCTGATGTGCATGAATGGTGAGCACATCCAAGTATGTGTTCCCTATAGAAAAGCATTGTATTAAATGCTTTTTTATAGGCGTCCACGTCACATGACCAAATTTTGCTTGGTCTGTACGCAAGAAGAGAACTTCTTGTTGCTGCCAGGAAGACAACCACTAGATGTTGAGTCAACCCTGCAATGTATACATAGCATTTTTTTTTTTTTTTAAACTACAATGTTTTACTTTGCAGTGTTAAAAATACAGTGCCACTGCATGAAGACACATCCATTATAACTATATGAAAAGCTTTCATGTACAGTTAATTTATATGATGCTCAGCACAACATACTATAAATGAAAAGAAAACATAGTAAGTTTATCAAAATGAAAGAACTCAAGAAAAAAAACACCAATTCTCTCCAGATCCATCAATTTTACAAAGAGATATCCATACAAAACCTAACAAAGTGGAATCAGACGCAACAGTGGGAAGCATTCAAATGAACAGACTTTTCTAAAAAAAAAAAAAAAAAACCAAACACATTGTTAAAGGACCACTATAGTGCCAGGAAAACATACCGTTTTTCCTGGCACTATAGTGCCCTGAGGGTGCCCCAACCCTCAGGGTCCCCCTCCCGCCGGCTCTGGAAGGGAAAGGGGTAAAACTTACCTTTTTCCAGCGCTGGGCGAGAGCTCTCCTCCTCCGTTCCGCCCGTCGGCTGCGCACGCGCGGCAAGAGCTGCGCGCGCATTCAGCCTCATAAGGAAAGCATTCATGTGCCCTGCGCTGGCGTGCTCTCACTGTGAAAATCACAGTGAGAAACGCAAGCGCCTAGTGGCTGTCAATGAGACAGCCACTGAGAAAATAAACTGAAACCCGGCAGTTTCTCTGAAACTGCTATGTTTATAAAAAAAAATGGGTTAACCCTAGAAGGACCTGGCACCCAGACCACTTCATTAAGCTGAAGTGGTCTGGGTGCCTAGAGTGGTCCTTTAAGGATAAACTAAAGAGAAGACCGTTTCTAGTTATTTAAAAAGAATCCATCAATACAAAAAATAGTCACTGGCCCCAGAGAAATAGCTGAGGAATTTGTACAATAATATACAACAATTTACTCTGAAGACTTTCCTAGACAAGTCTCCTACTATTAAAAATACATGATCTTGACTTTAATAGATAAAATCACAGTAGAAGTATTATCCATCCTTCAGAATTTGAAAAAAAGGAAAACTACCAGTACTGGATGGCTTTACTACTATATTCCATAAAAACATTAAAACGGAGTTGGCACCACACTTAACAAGACTCTTTAATGCGATCTTCAGAGAATAAAATATAATAAATGAACTGTTAAATGCCTCCATTGTGGTTATCCCAAACACTGGAAAAGATTCAACCCATTGTACCAGCTATACACTAATATAAATATTAAAATCTATGGAAAAATCTTGGCCCATTCCTTATCCACCCAGGCCAAATGGTATTTATAATGAATTGTGAATGTATAGATGCGAGCAGAATATTTTTGAATTTAATTAATATGTCCTAGCTACTTAATTATTGAACCATGATACTAGGATAAGACTCTGAGAAGGGGCCATCACTGACCGAGTGCAGGCCTCAGAAACAGATATAGCAGATATGCGAACACACATCTCAGAACTCCAGAACTCACTGCAGCAGGTCTGGTCCCACCAGAACACCATGTCCACACAGATAACGGCAATGGCAGACAGTCTCCGCCGATCCAATATAAAAATAAGGGGCATTCCCACAGCAGTAACAGAGGACGAACTGCCTCACTATGTTAGGCGCCTACTAGCCTCTATCCTGCCTCACGCAGTAGCTAAAAAGCTGACCGTGGAGGGGACCTACCGCCTACCTGGACCCGCGGGGGGACCAACTAACATGGCAAGAGACGTCATACTAAGGTGCCTCACAGTGCACGACAAAATTCTCATTATGTCCGCAATTAAAGGAAAAACGCCTCTATACTTTGAAGAGGCTCATCTCTCGTTTTATCAAGATCTCACAAAGGCAACCCTCCTCTAGCGCAAAACATTCCAACCGGTAACAAGCCTTTTACGTTCAACAAACATAAGCTACAGGTGGGGAACGAACGGATCCTTAACGGTGACCCAGAATGGAAACCTACATACACTTACTTCGATGGAAGACACACCACCATTCCTCACAGCACTGGGTCTGGAGCCACTGAGGACCAACACACCCCCGAACACTTCCACTCCCATTTGGAATCCGGACAAGACGGTGACCTTTGTCCCGAGGAACGAGAGCGTGAGAACGACGGACCCAGGACCAAGATTGAGAGCCGACCCAACTTAGGGTACACGGAAACAACACCTGAGGACTGCCTGGCCAGGCACAACCACTCCCAAGTCTTACAAGAGACTATATGTTCAGTTATTTACTTGTAACAGATCGCCTGGCACCCCGACTGGGTACCTCCGTTGAAAGATGCTCTTAGCGCTTCCTGAGGACTCCAAGCACTGCAGCAGACACCACAATCACCGAACCAGAGAAGCATATACCTTCTCTCAAGCATATGAATGCTGTAGACAGTTGAATAGGAACCATACGAATAGGTTTACTCTCCTAGCAGTCAAACTGGAACAGCATACAATGAATCCTTCCCCCAATAATGAGACGACACTTCACTTTGAGGGTTAAAACAGGAACTCCCTGTACTGTCACATACAGTCTCTTTTATTCCCAATCCACAAACATAGTACAGCCCACAGGGTGTTACAAAACAGCCAATCAATCCATACAATACACCCAGACACTCCCACACAAAATCCTCCCCTCTGGCTGTGATATGATTACTGAACACAATGGGTAATCTAATTATCACAGCCAGAGAAATACAGTTTCATAAAACACATCACAGGGACCCCAAAACATGCAATAACCCCATAAAAAGTATATCCTTGGAACTGGGGGATCTGGGTGAACCACATATCCAAAATTCACCCAGATCCGTTCAGTACTTTGGAAAATACAGTTTAAAGCAGATTCTGCAGAACATATACAGGCTAAATAAAAAACAATCACTGTATAATGTGTCCCCTGCTGTATAGTCCAAAACCACTGCACAATGTCTCTGTGCAACAAATACTGGCGAGATAGCACCGTGTTGAAAAGTCCACACAGTGTCTGTGAGTTAAAATGGCTGTCATCCATTGTTCTCACCATGTGCTTCTGATACTGGAAATGGTGGCCACCCAGTAACTCCACAGTATGTCCCCAGATGGTTCTTAAAAGGGCCAGCAGCAGCACAACACAAATCCATTATGCCCAAATCATGTCTTTATGGCCCCTGGGATGTATTGCCCTTTAGTCACATGGCAGGAGGCTGGCAACCAGGCTTTTCCAGTGCATAGTGGCGAGGTTGGTTCCGCCACATTACTATTAATATCACCTTCTGTGCTTCCCCTCTTTCTCCCCTTCCCGCATAATTTCTTATTACTACAACCGTTAGGATCAACACCAGCTCCAGGGCGCGCAACACGACTAGTGGAGGGGGACACATATACGGTACCAACCATCCCACAACTGAAATCACTCAAACTCCACCTACACAAACAAACTAGCGGGCACCCTAGAACATCCACACTCCATATCCCCCCGACACTCCCTTGGTCAGGAGTGCTCACCCGGAGTGCATAGATTTAGTCAGGACACAGCCCTGACCCCGGGTCCTGACAGCCATGTCATCTCGGATACTACCTAAAAGACCACACTTACTCTATGCACATACTGCAGCCTAGTCAAGCACGCACATACGCAAATATATGTTGCAACTCCGGCCCAGTAACGCTCACATGCACCCCTAACATAAGGACACAACACCCTTAGGTAAGCGGAGAAACAATACGCAGCCACACATCCCTCAAACATAGGGAAATTCGCAAGTCACCTAAGTTTCTGCAAGCACATTAAGATGTAAACTGTGTAAGTCCTTACTGTATACTCCCTAACACCAATACGGCACATTTCCCTAATATGACATGCCTACGTACCCTCCATACCTTGTGCTGGAACATAAAGAATCACACAAGAGATTAGCGTAGTAAGGGACTAGAATTGCATGTAGTCAGGGCCAGTGCAGTAACTTTGATTCTCCTTTGCAAGTCTACCAAGTTACACACACGCCTTATAACCAAGCGATTTAGGCATTTATGGAATTAACATGGCCTCACCTCCTCCCGTGCCATCGCGGGGTTATATTTTTGTTGCTCTTTGTTGCCTAACATTAGCCAAATCGATATGCCAGCAAAGCCACCTCCAACGGGGAGTCTGGGTTGGCTGTTGGACCTATGACTATTTATTACTTTCATCTTCTTTAATCATAAAAACTGTGCATATTTTCTTATGTACCTCTATGTCTAAATGTTTATATACCAAGTTGGAGGATTGCCTTTGGGGGACCTCCCAACTGTCTGTTATGAGCTTTTGCACTACAAAAATAAAGAATTAAAAAAAAAAAAAAAAAGACTCTGAGAAGGCCTTCAATTTAGTAGATTAGTGCTTCCTATGGGACTTTTTTCAATTTAGACTTCCAGGCAAATTGTTTTGTGCAATATAATCACTATACAAGCAATCAAAAGCAAGATTTAAGATAATGGAAGTAGCATCTACAGAGTTTGAGATCAGAAATCACACTGATATAGTTGCCCCTTGTCTCCTTTACTATTTGTACAATATATTGAACCTCTAGACATTGCAATTAGAGAACACTCAGGTCTCTCTGGTATAACACATGAAGACAAGTTATAAAAAAAAAAAAAAAAAAACTTATTTGAAGATGACATACAATTCTCTATCACCAACCCGTGTATATCCTTACTCTACCTATATAAATAGATCTGGCATTTATCAGGATACAAATACAACTTAACTGAATGTGAATATGAATTACAATAAGAGAGAGAAGTCTCTGATTTAGCAAATTATTTTTACTTTAGAAAAACTGTGTCCGAATGAAATACTTGAGGATTAACCTTGAGTCTTTCTACCAAAAAAATAATCCACCTCTGTTTTAGGAATTAAGATCTGTTTTAAACCATTGGATGTCTTTTAATATTTTCCTGAAAGGTTTTAAACATAATTCTTCCTAAAATTTCATACATTCTTCACACAATATCTATTCCAACTGGAGACTTACAAAAACTCAGAAAAATGTTTTTCATTTTGTTTGGTCAAGGAAGAAACAGACAGTAGCTTCCAATATCACTTTCTATCCTCTAAACATGTTCCAGACCACATCCAATATTACTCAAATTATTGTTCAACTTGCCCCTATTCTTAAATGATATTTTCCCTGTGGCAAACTATGCTGTGATGACATGGCAATTCACAGATTTACTCTGGTCCACCATAAATTAACAAAATGCTTCCATCTACTCTTCACACTTACCAGTTATAGAAAAAACATGCATATAGAGAGACGGGCTATCTACTAAGAATCCAACTGTCTACAATAACGGCAAACCAAACATTCCACTGACCATTGAAAAACAAAACAGAACTGAAGAATTTGACTTTGTACTTCAAGCATGCACAAATATGCAAATTAAACCATATCATAGAAATCTATGTACTAATAAAATCAGAGATACAAAACTTTAATTCTATTTCTTCCTTTATTGAAAAGACAAATGGTCCCCATTGACCACCCTAACACCATTTGAATGACTTTTTAAATCACAACCAAACACTGCCCATGTTTAAAAAAAACAAAGGGAAAAAACCTATGGGCGTGAGATATAGGCAGAGAAATTGACAAGCAAGAATGGAGAAAACAGCCATTTTTACTTACCGTAAATTATTTTTTTCCTTATCTGGTGGCAGTACAGGAGTAATGTGTCTTCCTTAGGGACAAGTCACTGCAATAGAGAAACAAAAAAACGCACCTCCCCTTCCTGGGATAAAAGTCCTATTGCCCATCATACCTTGGTTCATAACAAGAAACCACACAGAGACACCTATGCTGCAAAAATATTTATTATCCAAAATGCCACCATATTAAGTAAAAAAGAAATTAAGGTAAGTAAAAATTGCTGATTTTCCTGGCATATGATGGCAGTACAGGAGGGATATAATGAGATCCCAAATTTTAAGGGTGGGCATCAGGAAAACATTGCATGAAGCACCTTTCACCTGAAGGCTTCAGAGGCTAAGAATATGTTTAGCCTGTAGTGTTTAATAAAGGTATCATAGGATGACCAGGTAGCTGCTCTACATATGTCTTCTGGTGAAATCTGAGATTTTTCAGCCCAAGATGTGGCAATGGCTCTGGTAGAGTGTGCTTTTAATGTGGTAGGCAAAGGAAGATTATTCAAAGAATAAGCCATCTCGATATTGTGTTTTTTAAATTAGAATTTTCCACAAAAATAAATAAATAACAAACTGGTGGTCTGATTTCCTGAAGTCAGAGAATCAGAGGATGTAAACTTAGAGAGATCTTCTTACATCCAACATATGTGATGTTCTTTCTTGAGTAGAAGAAGCGCTGTTACAAAATTATGGTAGTACAATCGGGTTGTTAATTGCTTTCGAAGTGATCACTTTTGGCCAAAAAGATGGTTTAGGGTGTAATATCACGTTGTCAGGAAAAAATATGGTGAAGTTTTCAGAAGCAGGTGGGCCCTGAATCTCACCCACCTTTTTAGCAGATTTGATTGCCACCAGGAACACAATCTTAAAGGTTAGAAGTTACAAAGGAGTCTCTTCAATTGGTTCAAAGGGAGGATGACCTATTGATCTAAGCACAATAGACAAGTCCCAAGTTTAAAAAAATAACTCAGTAGTCGGTCTGATCAGTCTTATTGCCCTAAAAATCGACAAATAAGTAGGTCTGGAGCAAGATTCTTTACTAAAAAATGACTAAGTGCAAAAAGTTGGTGTAACGGAACCGCTGGCACCCCGACCGGGTACCTTCCGCCGACGGATGCTCCTAGTGCTTTCCGAGGACTCCAAGCACTCTGCCTGACACCATAACCACTGCAGACCCCACGAACCGCTGCAGCTTGGTTGGGGTCTCGCCGTCTCCACCCACTCTGGACCCAGGACCAGGGTCCAGCTTCCAGCAGGTCGACCTCTCTCCGAATTCCAGAGAGCAGGAACAGGAACAAGCTCTTAGCAGAGCTTAGTGATTATACCCTGGGGAGTATAGTGATTATAGCAATCCCCAGAGTGTAGTTTCTCCAATCCCCCAAACATGAGCCGAAACTTCATGAAGGTACAAGATGATCTGACTCCAATGAGCGTTTATTACTGCTTATATACAAGTTTTCAGGTCAGAGGCACACCCCCTGGACCTGGTGGTAAACTGTGACAAAAGGGACACAAACCAATGGGAACACTAATTACCATGATAACACTCTCACATACACAATGAAATCCCTCCTCTCCATCCTGGAGATAATTGGCTTAAGGCACTGCAGTAAACTCAATTATCTCCAGGTACAGAAAATATCTACATTTAACATTAACAGCAAAATACGTAAAAGTACATAAAAATACATAATTCTTATTTTATTACACAGAACCCCCACATTTAACCTATCCCCAGATAGCTCGGATCTGAGCGCCCAATCTAGGTGAACAATAGACAGGAAACGGGGGAGGGGAAGAAACACACCTTCCCATGGATTCCAATGGGAAGAAACTGTCTTTAGAAGCCAATAAGCCCCAAATAGTCTTTTTTAAATGGCAATACACCCCAGGGCCATAGTCATGAGGAAGGAGGCTGGCAATCAGGCTCCTCCAAAAGCCGGGGGCAAAGGGCAGCTTGTCACCTAACAATCCAGGGACAAAAGGCATTTCGTCACAGTTGGACCTATATTGTAAAAACTCTAAGTCCCGCAGATAAGCCCTCGTGAAGGAAACTGATGATTTAATCTGATGAAGGGGAAAGATGGAGGCACTGATTCTTATGGCACCAATGAAGGAACTTCAGCCTTGTTCTTAAGAAGATTTTTGACGTGGTTCTTCTTTCTTCTTGTGAAAGTTAACAAGATGTTAAACGTATTTTCAGCCAGACTTTGGTGAAGATTCAGCCGTGCAGCAGCCAGGCCATCAATCTGAACATGCGCACAATTTTTACTGAAATTTCTTTGTTCTCTATAAGATGAGAAGACTGGAAGCTGCCAGAATATTGAAGCCATCTCTCTTAAACCTGATAACAAAGTTCGATTTGGGCAGTATGGAATGACTGCTAGTACAACTGCTCTGATCTTTTGTAACACTTTTGGAATTAGGTTGCTTCGAGTAAACACATATGCCAGAGTGAAGTTCCATCTGATCGATAGACCGTCTGTGAATTGAGGGAAATCTCTTCTGAAAAGAGAGGCAAAGGCCGGCACTTTTTTGTTCATCCTCCTAGCCATTAGGTCCACTGTAGGCATTCCAAATCTTTTTGCCAAAAGAGCAAAGATGTCTGGATGCAGGGACCATTCATTCTGCGACCACTTTGACCTGCTTAAGTTGTCTGCAATTAAATTGTATATACCACTTATGTGAATGGCTGATATGTCTGCTTTCTTGTGCCCAGGCCATTATTTCTTAACTCAACTGGAGAAGATCTTTTATTCTGGTGCCTCCTTGCTATTATTATTGCCATTTATATAGCGCCAACAGATTCTGTAGCACTTTACAATATTATGAGCTTTAACTATAAAGAGATTTAACTATAAATAGGACAATTACAAGAAAACGTACAGGAACAATAGATTGAAGCTCAAACAAGCTTACAGTCTATAGGAGGTGGTGTATCAAACACATTAGGAAAGGCAATAGCAATCAAATAAGGTGGGAGTGAAGCAGAGCCGGAGGAGAGAGTAAAGTGCTGCCCTTTAAGAGAGCGCAAGGAACAGGAATGTGAGGTAGAGGTTAGTCTGGGAGGCCATAAGCTTTCCTAAAGAGATG